ATACTAGTGTTATTTGTCTCACTAAAAATCCCATCCAACACTCTAGAACTAAGCACATTGAAATAAGACATCACTTCATTAGAGACCATGTCGCTAAGGAAGATGTAGTTCTAGAATTTGTTGATACTTTGCACCAATTAGCGAATATATTTACAAAACCTTTAGACAAAGAAAGATTTTTGACACTTATGAGAGAATTAGGTTTAACTGACCTATTTTCACTTAGTGTTTAAAATAATTTTAGCACTTTTAAGAATAAATGAAAAATGCTTATAATAATAATTTTTGATTGCATTCTTTGCTATTAGTTAGGGGGAGTTTATGTTCTTTGGTGAAAATTAATTTTATGTTCAAATGTAGTTTATGGATTAATTTGATTGATTGAACATGATTAATTTTCAATATATGAGTTACCAATACCACTAGAGTTAATTAATTTAGCATTTTGAGTGTTTAAAACGGATTTTTGACATTTTTGTGCTTAGTGCATCGATACACTTAACAGTGCATCGATGCATCCCTTTGAATGTGCATCGATACAACGTGAAGGTGCACCGATGCACGCCTTGAATGTGCATCGATGCACAAGGCCATGCATCGATGCATCCGTCGGGTTTTTGGATAAAAACTCTGATTTTCTTCATTCTCTCAAAAACTCTTCAAAAACTCCTTTGCGCCGTTCGCCCCTCTCTCCCTAAATCTCCATTTGCTCAAAATCAACGGAAAATTGTCGGAATCCTCGAGCTTTTCATCTCTATATCTTGCTACTATCATTAAATCGTGCAACACAATATCTCATTCTCATCAATCCGAAATTTTCAAGGTATTTTTCTAAAAACTTCTAGTTTATCATATTTTGATCTTAGGACTAGTCTTAATTAATTATAGGATGAACATTATATCGGGCATTGATTGTTTGATGATTACAAACTAGATTTTATAACTAATTTCATAAAAAACTCACAAATTTTCAATAAATTTTTGAATTCTCAAAAATAAAAAAATTGAAAATCTAAATTTAATTTTAAAATTTGATGTTTTTGATTTAATTATGTTGTTTTCATGAAAACTATACATATTATGATTTTTCAAAAATTATTTTCAAATAGTTTTCAAAACCTTGCCCATTAGGATTCGGTTTAGAGAACCTTGAACTATTGAGGACTCAATTGAGTTTTGGGATTGATTATTGTGCATACATGTGTTTCAAATTGCAGGTTTTATTCCTTATTCCGATACCTTAACCATGTCCAATCCTAAACGTCTTAGGACTTCATCGAGTCGTTCAACCAGACCTCCTAATCCCGTTCCTCCTCCACCTAATAGTCTTATAGGATCCCGTTTTAATATGCCTGAACGTCGTAGAGACGACTTGTACTATAGGTACATATATTCTTTCCAATCCTATAGAATCCGGGAAGAGCGTATTTCTTTTCTTCAAGCCATGATAGATATTGACTTCGAATACCTTCCGATTCTTAAAACTTGGAAGTTTGATAAAATGTTTCACCTCAAACCTATCGTCTATCATCAGTTAGTCCGCATTTTCTATTCCAATGCGGTATGCATTCAAAACCAAACTCAATGTGGGACTATAGCAATTAGATCCTATCTTTTAGGCCAATATATTAATATTGACCCCGAGACTATAACTTTCCGTTTTGGGCTAGATGATGATGGGTTATATAATGAGAATGAAACTGTGGAATATCCCTATGTTCCAAACTCTAATGTTAGTACTCTACGATCTCATCACGATTGTTTTCTTCATTTGATGATCTCTTGGTGGTTTAGACCATCCGGAGGTATGTACTCCACTCTTTGTACTAGGGATTTATGGTGGATGCACTGTATCAAGAACAAGAACAAAATAAATCTGCCCCACATTATATTTAGTCAACTAGTGGATATCATAAACATTGTTCCTTCAAAACATGTCGAAACATTAGTTTATGGATGTCTTCTTAGTAACTTTTTTATCAAACTCGGTCTAAACGTCTCTCTCGACAATCCCATCCCTCTCCAAAATCAAATCAATCTCACCTCATTGAAGAAAGCGGATTGGAAACAAGACGAGGAAACCAGTCTTTGGGTCTTTCGACCCGGTAAGCAAACTTCGGGAGCGAGTTCTTCACGAGCTGCTCGTAGCTCTTCTCGTGCTCCTTCTCCTCCTCCGGCTGCTGACAATGATCCCGAACGTCAACAGCTTATGCAAGATATCAACGATCACGTACCAGATGATGAGCCTGCACCGGAACCAGCTCCATAAGAGGATCAAGTGCCTCCATATTTTCGTTCATTTTTGGAGACATTTGATCTACGGTTTGCTTCCATCGAATCCCATTTGACTGCTAACAACGAAGCCGTTAATCAACGCTTAGACTCTTTGGAAGCTCAACAAATGGAGTTTCAATGGCATATGCTTGCACGTATGGATGCTCTCTTTCTTGAGATGCAAGCCCGATTTCCTCCTCCTCATCCCGATCCTTTTATGGACGAGTAGACCTTGTTTTGTTTTGGATCATCGTTGAACTTTTCTTGTTAAAACATTTTGAATGATTTGGGATTATTGTTTTCTTTGGATTGTTTGAATTTGTTTGGAGGTATGATTTGGATGTTTGGATGTTTGAACTTATTATATATATATATATTTGGTTTGGTTTTCATTTTTTTAATGTGAACTTAATGTTTATTAATTTTTGCATGATTTACATATTAGTTGCATTATGACCAATTATCCATTACTTGTTTATGAATATTGTTTATGAAAACTAATGGCTAATCTCTCTTTTGATTGTGATCTTAGCAGCTTAAACGTTAAAATAATAACTCAATTGGCGTATATTTTCCAAACCTTGTTTAATAACGTTTTAGAGTCTTTTTGATTTAACAAAAAGGAGAGAAAATTGTTATAGTAAGGGGGAGTAATTTTTCAAAATTGATTTCAAATTTTTTTTTAACAAATCTTAAAATTACACAAATGTTTTGTTATATAAAAAAGGGGATATTGTTGAAAACATTTTGATGTTTCGATATAAAAAATTAAGTATAAATGAATTTTAAGATTTTACAAATGATTTTCTAAGTATATTCGATTTAATTACTCGAATATCAATTTATTACTCCAAGTCTTTCAAGATCAATTTCAAACCTTTCTAAATGTGTAAAATTGTGTTTTATACTTAATATATTTTTAAAACAATTTTCACAAAGTATTTTGAACCAAATCAAGCCTAAAATCAATTTTTCAAAGTGAGGCACCGATGCACCAATCCATGCATCGATGCACCATGAAATAAATTGAACATCGAATGCATTTCATGCATCGATGCACTCAGGGTTTTATGAAAACATCGAATGCATTTGATGCATCGATGCACCAGCAATGCATCGATGCACTCAGACTATTTTGAAACATCGAATGCATTTTATGCATCGGTGCACTAGTGCACCGATGCACTAAGGGTCCAACGGTCAAAATATTTGAATTTTACGCTTGATGCATCGATGCACTGACGCTCCCAACGTTCATAATCAATTGAATGAGTATTTAAACAAGCTTAGAAGTCATTGATAAAAAAAAACAAGAAATAACAAGAAACAAAAATCAGGTGAGAATCAAAGAGAAAGCATCAAACTCATTGTTTGAGCACTTCAAGCCTATTTTTCATTCAATTAATGTTTGGTTGGGGGAAAACTGGTTGGTCAACATAATTCATTTTCCTGATCAACAGAATTTCCTTTGTGTTTTCTGGAAAATAACTTACGGTCTGATTTTCCGTAAGTTATTTTCCAAACTTTTCACTTCAAATAATAAATACTCAAAATAATTTTATTTTATGAATTTAATATTAATAAAATATTTTAATATCATTTTCATCAAAATATTAATTATTAAAATATTTAAAATATATTTATTAATATTTAAAATAATATAATATTATATTTTTAATATTATAATAAAATAATAAATTATATTATAATAATATAAGATATTATATTTTTATTTTAAAAATATATAATATTTTTTATATATTTAATAATGAATAATATTATTAATATAATAATCTAATAATATTTTAATAAAGGTATTTAAAACATACTAATTAATATTTTTAAAATATAATATAACATTATTACTTTAATAAATAATTAATATAATTTATAATATTTTTATTTCACTAAAATATACCAATATTAATATTTATTAATAAAATTATAAAACTAATATTTAATAACAAATAAATTATTTTAATATTTTAAAATAATAATATTAAGTTTTATGATAAATAATATTATTTATTGTATTTAATATTTATAATAAATAATTTTTTAAAAACTCATCGACTAGTGAAAAAAATGTTTAAATAACATCTTCCAAACATCATAAAACGTTTTCCAGATGTTTTTTAGAAAAAAATAATTCATTTTACAGAAAATATTTTCTGGAAAACGTTTTCCAAAAATGTAATTCATTTTCTAGAATTCAAATTCCAGTAATTCATTTTGCAGTAATTCAAATTTCAGTAATTCAAATTACAGTAATTCATTTTCTAGAAAACCAATTACAGCCAAACAAACAAACCCTTAGTGTATTGAGTTAAGGGGAAAAAATATTTATGTAACCCCTTCACCTGACCTAAACAAAACAAATCAGATCCACAAGGTCTATTAACTAATCTTTCCCAAAACATTTCCCAAACTTTATTTTAAATACTTTAAATTTACCCTTACATTTACTGATTTCAAATACTTATAGAAATAAATTAACAATAATTAAACATAAATCAAACATTTATAAAATTCAAGTTCAAATCTCAAAGTCCAAAAAAATATTTAAACATAATGAATATTATCCAAAATAAGTATTAATAAAATAAAAAACCAAAAGTCTGAATAAATGCAATATTGTCAAAATAATGAATATGAAATAATGTTGAATTCCAAGTATTGATCTATCTAGCTGCTCGGTAATCTGAAAAAAGAAACTAAAGGGGAGTAAGCTACAAGGCTTAGTATGTCTTTAAAGTGCAACAAACATAACTCGCAGCATAATTAGTAACAAACAATAATATTTATACAACAAATCATCAACGGTAATCACAATGTAAATGATAAGCAAATGCTAATGCACCCGCTCGTACTCCTGTCACACCCCGAACCACATTAATTCCAACCCACACACAATATAAGTGGAGTCCGCCACAAAGACAGATGTCACTGAATCCAAATAAAAGTGACATTCACTGCGTCAAGTGAATGTACTGAACTTCCCCTATCAATAATCATCTCAACATGAAATGCAGAATGATATATACATCCGATGTCTAATCCGATCCGAATAACAATATTTTAGAAGCATGTAAATATTTCGAAGCATATATTTATTCCGACAAATCAATCACATTTACTCAATAAGTTCACATAATTAAACATGCATCACATGGTAACAATTTTTCCAAATTCCAATTATCACAACATATTCACAATCAGACATGCTTTCAATAATATTTCAACCAACCAAGCAAACAAACAGTCAAACAATTCACATAGCACCATATAAAGAGACACACCTCGACAAAAGCTAAGTCGATAATAATTTCTACAATGGTCAGCTCGAGCAGTAGATTGATCCGAATTAGTGTCTACGGAAAATAATTTAAATAAATAAATTATTCTAAAATTAACGTACTAAAATTTGTCAGTTAATACTCACAATCGACACGATCTATATGGTTCGTTTTGAAGTTCGTAGGTAACGGCGGAGGAGGCGGTAACTCATTTTCTGATTCAGAATTTCCTGCAAAATTACAACGTCCGAACTTAAATACCGGATCAAAAATTCTAATCTACGACATAATAATTTATGACGATCTAAAAATTATTTTCATCTCGATCTGAGGTCCCGCAGCGATTTGGTTCGAATATATCAAATTGTCGGTATATTAAATCGGGATTTCCGGCGACAAGACTTCACCGGTAGTATTTCCACGGATCAGCGAACACATGGTCGGCCTCGCCGTGGCCTTGAACGGCCGCCCAATACTCAACAGAAGGTACCAAAATAAAACAGAACCGAAAGGGAGGGTTTCACGGCCAACCGAGGCTGTTCAGCCGTACCCAGGCCAACTAGGCTTTCCCCAGCGATACCATGATCTCGTAGTGGTCACCAACGGCCAAAATCAGCGGTGGTTTGCGAGTCAAAGCTCGCGGTTCTTTTCCACATCGCTCAACGGAGACGAAAAGGATACCACAAGAAACGAATGGAGACTTACCTTAGGTGGTTAACGGCGGCGAAGCGGGAGAGGGCGGCGGCGAAGAGGAGAAAACTAAGGGTGCGGCGCTAGGGCTTTTAACATAAAATAAAGAAGAAGATGGAGCAGCAGCATGATAAAATAGTCGGAGAGGAAAGAGCGTGTTTTAAAAATAAAAAAAAGTTAATTTTGATTATAGTCATCCACCTTTTAGGCTTTATGGAATAGACTCTTAGCTTTAAAAATTTATAATTAATACACTATTTTCGAATTAGAAATTTATATCAAAATTCTCAATTTCTAGAGTTTTAAATTTGGGGTTTTTCATTGTGTTACAATATACTTATTATTTTTAAAAAATTTAAAATGTTAGACTCTTATTCTTAAATTTTTAAATTCTTCACTGAATAAATACCTGAAAAACTTGATACATTTGATGGTCTTGACATACAACTTAACTACGATAGATTGTTTATACCACTTGATACATTTGATAGTCTTGACATACAACTAACTACGATAGATTGTTTATACCAATAACACTTCGATGAGAACTTCTATCCAGGTGAAATATTCAAACAAAGGCATACCCTACTTTAAATTAGAAGAAAAATTTAAAAATTTTAGAAGAGACACATGATTTATATTAAAAGACGAATTTATAAAATTTTAAAAAATAAATTATTAATAAAAGTTTTAAAAAATAGATATCTAAAATTGAAATTTTCTAAAAAAAACAGCCACCTCTCGGTCCATCAATGTCCCATATCCATATTTTTTTGTTCTTGATTTTGCACTTGTTCTACACTTTGGATTAATCACAAATATTTGCAAATCATTTTTAACAACCGTCCTTCCTGCCACGTCGACCTTGAATTTGAATCGTTGATAAAAATGAATAAATCTTATCATCCACGTGTAAGGTAGTGATTTGTCGAGTGCATTGTACTCTGCATGGGTTCTCGTCGAGGTCATGGACTTTCTCGGGACCACGTGTGGAGGCCTTCAATTCCTTTTTGGGTTAATTTACGTTTCGGCCATTGACTTTGGTTTTGATATGCAATTTGACCTTTGATATTTGAGATATTATATTTTTCTAATATATTTTTCTATTGATTTTTTTACTTAATCATTGATATTTTATTTATTGATCAACTAATCTAGATCGAATATTATAGAGATTTATTATGGGAATTATTCTCCCAATTCGATTGACTTCATTCACAACATCAATATTCAAACTTTTAATCTTGTTTGAGAAGTTTCACTAGACTAACTCATTATTAGTGTTGATTTTATCGATAGACTTTTTGCCCCCCGATAATACAGAGGATACCATTAAGAACTCAAGTTCTCCTTAACAACTAAATCTACAACCTCACGTAGCGAAACATCTCTTTAATAGGAATACCTTTCGAAAGCTTGGCCAACTTGTTTGTGACCAAGTTGTACTCACATCAGACATGAAAAAATTGAATCAATAAATCATACAATAACAATGCCAGCAACGATTCAACCAAGACATTAGACTCAAGCACCATATGATAGGGAAGCGGTGGCGAGTTGATGAATGTTGCTCTTGTTGAAGAATCAAACCTAGAAAGCTCTAGACTCGATGAAGAACAAAGGGGGTGGTGAATATGGGAAGGTGGTGGCATCAACTAGGGTCTTTTAGAGTTTCTTTTAAGTGCCGGAAAGAAGGTAAGAAACAAGATTAGAACAAGATAAAAAAAAAAAGAAATTAAAAATAAAATAAGATAATAAAGAAATCAAAAGATCTCCCTTATGAAGGTGAACGGTAAAGATGATGATGGTGAGGATGGATTTTTTGAAAATAGATTAATCTCCCTAGTCGCAATGAAAAGGCAAACACGATAATATGGCTCTAACCAACCTCCTAGTCGCGATGAAAAGGCAAATTGGAGTGTGAAGATTAATCTCCCTCACAAGAACTTGAAAGAACTCAAGGAGAAGAAGCTTCGAAGGCACAAGGCAATCAACACTTGCAAAAACAAACTCTCGTTGTATTATTAATCAAAGAAATCTTGAATTACAAAGTTAATAAGCCTCCTTTATAGAGGGGCTGAGTTCTAAAGGTCTTAAATACTAATGAATAAAATAATAATAAACTAAACATATCTTAACTCTAATTCATAATAAAATAAGAATAACTAAAGATAATACTTTTAACCCAAAACTTAATTCCTAATAAAATAATAAATCTAATCCTAAAAGATAATGCATCGTCCTATATTAAGTCATATTACAAATAATCAATAAAAATATTGAAAATTCGTAATATTTACAAAATCCCGTATTAATCCCGTATAGGATTTTCTGCATGAACCATCTTCAGTAAAATAGCCATATCTTGAGTTCCCGATGTCGGATTGATGTGATTCAAGAACCATTGGAAAGATAAGATACAGAAGGTCGTATCTTCAGAAGACATCTTAACTAAATAAGATCAGGATACCATTCAAAAAGTCGTCGTAAGTCTTCTTCTGTTCTGATCTTCTTTTCCAATGCTTGGACGAGTGGATCATTTGGAAGAGTTATTACTTCTTCCTTTGATGTGAGCCTTGTGATGCATGTATCATACTCTCTTTCTTCAAAAATATTCAACCTCGAATCTGAAACATTAAAGGGAGCAACATTAGAATCGTTTTTAATGATTCATTCACATTATACTTACCGAATAGATATGCTTTGAATCTTCGAGACTTTGTTCTTCTAATAGGTTCGAGTAGAAACATTAGTCCAAAGAAGCATGTATTATGGACTCTGGTGCATGTATCATTCCCCCACTCCTCAAAATGATTCGTCCTCGAATATGAAAATCCAAGAGAAAGAGACTTAGATGTGTTGAAAGGAAAACTTATGAAACATTTACCAGGATCAATGTGATGTGTCTTTATGCGTTTCAGTCGAGGTTTCTTCTTTGTAGGAACTGATTTCTTGTAGTCTTGAAATCCTCTTTTGTATACAAGTCTTATAATCTGATGTTTAGGTTGAAGTTCAACATGGCGCCGACCACTGTTGGCTTTCTGTATGATTGCTTCAGATAATTTCTCCATGGTTTTATTCGTGTGTGGTGAGAATGAGTGTTTGTTTGAAAACCATGTCAACTGGTTTGTTAAAGTAATCCCTTAAGTCTCCTAAGTGTGGTTCATGAATTAAGAATTCTCAGGATGAGATTTGTGGACTATAGAACCTGTTTAGTTGGCAAGGAAACTCATATACAAGATAAAGCTCACTAAAAGCACTTTTAAAAGTATGGGTAGAAATATCAAAAATATCCGAGTTATTGTGATATGCATATTTGATATGTTCAATTCTCGGAATAGTAGTATGCGTTTGATAAGTAAGAGTATATCTTCGTGGTAGTGCATTGTCTACTGTGTTTTGCTTACCTCGGTATGTTACGTAATTAAAGGAGTTGTGTTTAATATGGATGACAACTTCACGAGCCTTACCTTGTAAGAAAGAGAAGAAGTACGTTACAATGTCATTAGAATGAGTAATAAAATACTTACCTTTGGACTCTCGTAAATCGTGATTCTTCATTGATATGACATAGTGATTAGGGCTTTCAGGTGGTAACCCGTCAGGAGGGTCACCTAGCACTATTCGACAACTCATGGCGATGGAAGATGGTGTGGTCCAGTCTCGTGTTGCTTTTACTTTCTCATCATTTAAATGGATTCCCTGTAAACGAACTATAAAGCATGTGGAGTTGTTCAAGTCATGTTTCTTCATTAAGATGGCATCACGACTAAGGCTTTCCTGATGTAGCCTTTTGTAACAAATCTAACTCTTTGGTTTCTTCGAGATTGTATGTTTGACGGGGTATGATGGAACCTTGAATTAGATTGGTTTGGTGTTGTTTTTCTCTTTTCGGTGGTAATTTGTTAGGTGGATCACCTAATACTTCTCGAAAATCCTGTAACAAAGATGAAAACACACTAGGCAAATCCTTGTTAATGTTAGAAATCGAAACAATTGATTCCCTAAAGCGAACAAGGATGGAAGGTTGTAAAGAAGGTTCTCTCTCAATTCTTTTGTGCTCACACATAGATTTTGAGTCACTCTTTTCTTCTCACAATTAGGTTCACTCACCTCCCATAGGTCATTATTCTTTTGGCTTTTGTAACTAGTGACCTCTTTTTCTTTTGCCTCTTTCTCAGCTTTTTCTTTTTTTGCTTTCCCTACCTCCTCACAAATTATCATTTGATCTTTAGGGGCTGGAAGTGTGTCATTCATTGCTGGTCGTTCTTTCTCCTTGTCAGGTTTGTCATCTCTTAGCTTTTTCAGAGAAGATGGAGTAGAAGAAGAGGAAGGATTTGAAGGATTACCTTGGTAATTTTCTGAATCGGAATCTCCTTTGGATTTGTGCTTCGATTGTCATTGCTTTCTTTAGTGTATCTTCAAGGTTTTTGTACCCATATAGATCAAGAAGATCAGTGATGTTTGAGTTTAAGCCGACGAAGAATCTTGACACGGTGACCTCTTCTTTTTCGATTATGTTAGCCCTATTGAGTAAGGACTGCATCTCCTTATAGTAGTCTTTAACTGAACTTCTACCTTGTCAAAGTCGGTGTAGTCGTAGTTTAACTTCTCGTGTATAATGTGTCGATAGGAATCGCTTCCTCATGGTTTGTTTGAGGTCGATCCAAGAAGTGATTGTTGAAATTTGGAAGTTCTGGATCTTTGTCCTTGTTTGCATCCACCAAGTTCGAGCATATCCTTCGAATTGCATGGTGATGAGGGGAACTTGTTTAGCTTGGGGGCAGTCATGGTATGCGAACATGAGATCAAATTTTCCTTCCCAATCGATGTACCTGTCCAGATCGTTGTCTCCTTTGAAAGACGGGATTGTGAACTTTGGTTTTGCAAAGTGTTCGGGTGCTTGAAAACGTTGTTGTTCTCGCCCGGGTACCAAAAGTTCAGCATTGTTTGGTCTTGGATTCTGGTTTGGTATATCCAGTTGTGGTTTTTGTCGTTCTCTCACGATTTCATCAAATCTTTCAAGTTGAGTCGTGAGTCGGGTAAGTGTCTTGTTGTTATTGTCGCCCATCCTGAAATCATAACACTCAAAAGAAAATTTTAAAGTA